TATTTAAGAGAATAGTGAGTGAGGTAGAAAACCAACAGATCTTACTTAGAAAACCAACAGATCTTTCGAAAAAGAGTTATTTTGTTGATTGGGTTTGTTGCAAAACACACGTTTCTATGACCTAAATGACTGGCTTTATTACTAATGACATAAAGTTATAGGAGGGGATATTTTAATTCACCTATTTAATAAAGTTAGGACAGCTGTAGTAAATTCACTCCCTAAGGATCTTTTTCTCTGTGTTCTTAGGGAAGTTGAGGATAATTCTGCAAACAACACTTATCAAAGCTTATTGTTTATTATGTGTGGTCATTTGCACGTTTTATCTCACCAGCTGAGTTATAGGGCTATAAGGTAAGGGCCATGCCTCAGTGCCCAGCTCTGCATCTGTTGTGAACTCTAGTGATGGGAACTATCTTTCTTCAGTATGCTGATCTATTGAGGTCTTAATTTTCTTACAACCATATGTTGTTGTGATTATTTTCACTTCATTCACGACATATGTACAGATGGAAAGTCAACTAACGGGCAAGGCCCTGAGGCAGATGATACGCTGACACAGTGGTGAATTATACAGGGACTCTAGGCCCGAGGGGCTGATGCCTCTGGCAGGGGAGATAAGACAGGCAGGCAGGTGGGGGGGCTGGAAGACAAGTATCAGGAGGCAGCAACCATAAAGTGCTATGGATATTCAGAAGGAGGGCGGATTACTTTTAGCGGGGGAAGTTGGCATTGGTGGGCACGTTCGTGGGAGGAGCGAGATAAGCTCTCACGCGAGCCTTGGACTAATTTGCCAAAGAATGAAATCGATGGGGCGTACGTTTGAACCAAGACCCAAGGCCGAGCACCAGCTGAAGACCCTTGGCAACCTCCGAATCCACTTGTAGCACCATTCGGAATAGTCACCAAATGGTTGTGTTGGCAAAATACACCCATGAGCATACCTGAAGACCACTGTGCACTATCTGATGACATCATTTTCCGTTTACAACATAGTAAAGTGTTTAACACACTAAGCGACCGTTAAAAAAAAAAAAAAACAACAACAAGAGAGAAAACATGGAAGTACCCACCTATTTATTATTAGATATACGCGCCCATTGACTTTGGCATGGCTACGAGGTGAAAGATGGAGCACGAGGTAGCATGCGGTGGCGACGGGGAGACAGGTAGGAGAGAGAAAGAGCAGACTGTTAGAGAGGAACGAAGCAGACCGTCTTGCAAGCTTTACGTCATCACAGACACTTTCATGCACGAAGACAAGTCAGGGCAGAAAGATTCAGGAGCAACGTGAAATTAGATGTATTCAGGAAAAATGCTGGAAGGTGGCAAGGTCCGGTCCGATCTTCTCATTCCTCCCCATCTCACACACTTTGCTAAAAATCTGTAACCTTTCAATTCTCGAGCAAATTTATCAAAGAAAGTACGATCTAATAGATTAATTCTTGCTCCTTCCCCCAGATTAAAAAGAAATGAAATCCTACTAAGTAACTAAGTGATCCTGACTAAGTAATATTGTTTTCTATGTTTTCTAAGACTGAAGGTAGAAAAAAACCATTTTGTTTCCATATGCATTAGAATACTTTCTTTTTTAAAAAAAAACCATTTATTTATTTTTGAGACAGAGAGAGACAGAGCAGGAACAGGGGAGGGTCAGAGAGAGAGGAAGACACAGAATCTAAAACAGGCTCCAGGCTCTGAGCTGTCAGCACAGAGCCCGACGCGGGGCTTGAACTCACGGACCTCGAGATCATGACCGGAGCTGAGGTCGGACGCTTAACCAACTGAGCCACCCAGGCGCCCCTAGAATACTTTCTAAAACGGAGCATGGAGGAATTGCAGGGATGGATATTAAATACCTAGGATATCTAGTACCTTAGTATTAAGTATATATATTATAATAATTTTGTTGTGATTATGCTCTAATATTATATATTTTATCAATAGATAAGTGGAATAATATTCCTGAGAACACCTGCTTAGAAATAAAAATAGTTTTTTTTAATTATTATGTATATCACAAAACTTTTTCGTAATACAAACTTGATAATTCCGTAAGGCTAACCACAATAGATTCTGCTTCAGTCACACGTGACATTTGCCTGTATGACCTATTTATGCACAAAAACACAGCTCGCACAAGTAGTGAACTAAATAGGAAAAGAACAGTTGGATATTTACAGAAACAACAGCAGTAGAATCAATGTAAGGAATATAATGGGTTGATTATTCCCAATTCGTGGGCCATGGTGGGCACAGAGAAGGCAAAGCGTGACTGTCCATCTCAACACTGTAAATATTTTTTTCTTCGTCAGTTTTATCCTAATATGGTCATTTATTAGGGCTCCAGGGACAAAAAAATACTCTGAGGTGAAAACTATTAGTAAAGAAAATACCAGAATGGAAACAAGTTGCCTAAAAAGATGGGATATGTATCCTAGGTTCAAAGTTAAAATTTGGGGACCTTTATATTAAACTCTTGCAGGAAATCCCAAAGCACTGAACTTGAGTTTGAACCAAACTTTGAGCTCTTTAAGGTCCTAGACAACTCTTTTTTTTGAGGAACTAAAAGTGAAATACCATGTTCCTAACCTCTTTAGATAGCTGGCCTTATATACTGTCATCACTGTTTATGTTTTCTTGGAAAATTAACTGTTCAGGGCATTCTTAGGGCTAAACCATGACCATGAGGATGGCAAGCAATGACCTCAAATGGCTACAGACCATTTAGATCTTCTTTCCCCTCTTGCCATGACATGGAGGGTGAGGGCAGTGAATGGAGCAGCCGTGGCAACGGGGAGAAAACATCTTCATGTGAAACTGTAGTCTTTCCCCAGAATCTACATAATTAAATAATGCTCTATATGCTTCCAGGAAACTCTGAGGAACAAATTCAGTTTTCATGTACCCTAGGTGATTCTTTGGCTGGTACAATTTTTGCTGAGCTGCATTGTCTTCTGCAAAACTGTGGCCCTGAAAATCTCTTATCTTCCTGGAAAATTGTAACCTATATCTCTGTTTGATTGTGTGACATTAGACTCAAAGGCTTATGATAACAATAAGAACAATGGCGGGGCGCCTGGGTGGCTCAGTTGGTTAAGCGTCTGACTTCGGCTCAGGTCATGATCTCATGGTTCATGAGTTCAAGCCCCACGTCGGGCTCTGTGTTGACAGCTCAGAGCCTGGAGCCTGCTTCAGATGCTGTGTTTCCCTCTCTCTCTCTGACCTCCCTCCCACCCCCCCAGCTGTGACTCTCTCTCTCTCTCAAAAATAAAATAAACATAAAAAAAAGCTCCTATATCCTGGAGAAACTTTGAACAGAAAATAAAGATTTGAGGGAAGAAAGGCATTTTGAAGAAAAAAAAAAATGGAAAGGTATCATCAGCTTTCACCAATAATTACATTTCTTTTACAAACATACAAACATGCCGACTAACAGGCTTTTCTCGATTATTGACTATGATTTTTCGAACAGATGGTGAGGGTTTAGGGTTTATAATTAAATAAAGCAGGTTACCTTGCCAGAGTCAAATACCAAATACTAATTTTAGCCCCAGGTGTGCCAAGCAATGTCAAAAAGGTCACCAAAAAATACTTTTTCTAATTGTTGGTAAATCTTACTTTCCTAGACCAGCACTATGTTTGCAAGCTTTTTAACCTTAGAGTGACTTCTTCTGCTAACAAATTTGCCTATAAACAATCTCTCCTAGGGGGCTCCCAAACTTCTACTAACTACCTTATTTTTCCTAATGTTTGATTATCACTGAAGGCAGCCACTGACCCCATTCGTACCCTCTTCCTGGCCGGGCGTTTGGAGGAGACAGGGTTTAGCTGAGTTCTTAATGATGGTGGCAAGACAGGGTAGGAAATAACAGCTGCTTGCTATCTCTGCATTCTACTGGTTGGTCATCTGGAGCGCACTCAGAATGAAAACGACATGTGAACTCAGATTCAGCAAAACGCGATACGGAAAATAAATGTGCTGAATACATAGATAAAGATTATAAAATGGTTTTCATCACCAAATAAAAGAGTTTTGGAGTTATCTGCAACTCCAGCCCTTACTATAGCAGAAAACGGAACGCTCGGTATTTCATCAACTGTGCGTGATGAAATACTACTCTAACTTCTTTTGACGTACTCATGTTTTCCCTTCAAGAAGAGTTCAGAGGGAAGCCAAAAAGGCTAAATGGGATTGTCAGCTGGCGTCTACGCTCCTTTCATACAGCCCTTTGCCCCCTTGGTTGCTTAACAAGTGTTTTTCCAGGAACTGAATGGTAAGGCTAAATCTGAAACAAAAGAGGAAAATCAGTGTGAACGTTCACTAGAAGAATGCTTGAAATTTCCCTGTGAGGGACCAGACTGAGAGATTTGTGATAAATCCATCACGGTTTCAACACACATGGGCAGGGAGAGAGATATCTCATCTGTTGCTTGTAAACACTTGCTATTTATCCATGAGAAGACAACAGAGAGATGATCACAGCAATTACTGTCTTCACTTTATTCCCTTGTTATTCTCATCACTAGATTGGAGATCCTATCCTTCTTAGCTGAGGTTCTTTATTTTCAAAGCGGAAGGGAAAATCCTGCGCCTCACCTTTTGGTATGCTCTCACTTCCTTACTGGTTGTCAGCCCACGCTCTGAATCAGCCAGATTTCGTAAATGTTCTCAAAACACATCACCAGCCCAGACACGAAATATCCACCGCCACCTCTGAAGTGTTTGCATCTGCGCAGCTATTTTGAACCCACTCACATGATGGTGAAGATCACTTCGCATTAACCAGTCATGAGTCACCACCAATTGTTACAGAAAGTGTCATCAAATACTCCACATTCCGCCCCCCCCCCCCCCGGTTGGTACTCATGGCAAGTTCAAGGCTGAAACTCTACATCAGTTCTTGGCCTCCTGCAGGCCCCCCCCCCCCCAAGCTGAGGTGGGGAATCAAAGCCACTCTGACCAGAGCAAGAGGCTCGTGCTTCCTGCTCGCGCTCACCTGTAGATGGCGCTGTCTTCCTTGCTGGGAATGGACTTCAGGTCCGTGAGCTCCAGGAACCGATCATGGAAGTAGTGGAGGTGTAAAATGCACACCAACAGAAAGGAGGTTGGGATGAAGATGCGAGTGAATAGTTCTGCTACGGTGAACTGTTTTAAGCCGAGATCCTCGAGCCTGTAAAACAAAACGACACGAAAAGCAAGAACTTTTCTTAGGCAATGAGGGCACTTTTTTCCCCCCATCATAAATTACATCAGTCTTCACTGTCTCAGTAATACCATTCCTTGAATTCCCCTCTCTCTTCCATGCGTTCCACTTTGGTTTCTGCTTCCACCAATCCAACGGACCCGCTCTTACATCTGGCGGTAACAACCTCAGTATCGCCAATTCAGAGCAGCTGCTTCTCTTTGTTTAATTCAGCTTCCAATCCTTCTTGAAACCGTCCTGGCCTTGGTGCCGCCACACTGTCCTTGGTTTTCCTCTTCTGTCGCTGTCTCCTCCTTTATTGGACCTCCAGATGTGAAATAGCCCCAGGCCTCGGTGCTGAGTCTCTTCTCCCGCTGATGTTTCGCTTAGGTAATGTACAAGTCCTGGGGATTTACACACCATCTTAACACCAATGATTCAAATGCACATTCAGAGTTCCGGCTTCTCCTGTGGGTTCTTGTGCCCACATGTCTACCAGAAGGTTTTTTTTTTTTTTCCCCACAGTTATTTCATATTTAGTGTTTTCCAAACGGTATTCTTGATTTCCCAGTTTTGCTTGGCCACGCTGCTCTCCACCTCGGCCCCCCACTAGAGTCTTCCTGGTAATAACTGTCTACCTTGTGCCAAATTCTGAACTACCTCTTCTAGATGAAACCACCATCATTTCTCACAAGAGCACTGCTGTTGCCGACTCACTCGCCTTGTGGTTTCTACGCTTGCCTTCTGACAGCATTGTTTTTTTCAGCCAGTCAAGGGTTACTTAAAGACTTAAAAATTTCCCAAGAATAAAATGCCAACACCGCTACCTACAGGCCATGCACATCCTGGGTGCCTGGCTCTATTCTCCACCTCTGCTTCCAGTCTCCCCCCTGCTCCTGGCAGGCGAGCCTTCCTCTGGTTCTTCATTTGTGCCGAATTCAGTCTTGCCTCAGGATCTTCACATTTGCTGCTGTCTTTGCCTGGGAAGCTTTTCCGCAACTCGGCTCCCAACTCACGCAGTTTCCTTAAGACAAGCCCTTTAGGTGGAGTTTAAATGTCACCTTCTCAGGGAAGCCTGCCCTGATCACTCCATTTATAGTTCATATCCCCCACGGTTTACTACCTCAATCTGTCGTTGGTTTTCCTTCACACACTTGCCACAGTTAGCAATTAATTTATTTGCACATTAAGTAGGGCTTTTTTTTTGGTCTCCTCTACTAGAATATAAACTCCGTAGTGCTTAGACTCCATTTGTCTTGCTTCCTGTGTGTGTCCCGAGGCAGAGTCAGTGTCTGGCACATGGGAGGCATTTGATAAATATTTGCTGAATAAATGTTCAAGATGTGTTAGCCTAGCTACATGGCGATCCGTTCCCTTTCAGCTTTTCGCTTAGCCACCTCGGTATATGCATTCAGCCCTCTGCCCAATTCTGGTAACTAATTTCAGAAGTTTATAGCAGCAAATTAGAAAAAGACAGGGTACATGTACAGATATATCACACATACATGAAAAAAAGATTTCATCATCATTACTCCATTAGCACTTACAGAAATTTCTTTTAAGTCTATTCATTTAATTTTAAGCCTATTCATTTAATTTTAGAGAGTGTGAGCAGGGGAGGGGCTGGGGGGGGAGAGAGAGAGAGAGAGAGAGAGAGAGAGAGAGAGAGAGAATCCCAAGTAGGCTCCACACTATCAGCACAGAGCCCGACCCGGGACTCGAACCCACAAACCGTGAGATCGTGACCTGAGCTGAAATCAAGAGTTGGACACCTAACTGACTGAGCCACCCAGGCGCCCCTGAAATTTTCTTCTACGGCATCGAGTGCTCCTTAGAATCTTAGCACCTGCTACTTAAATGAGAAGAGGCTGATGCTTTATACTATGAGCCTGTGAACCAACTGAGCCGCAGAACTGAACTTCCCTTTGGAAAGCAGAAGGCATGCCTGGTTAAGTACTAAGCAGGTGTTTCAGATGAAATGGCCATTAGAAAAAGTTATGGCATTAAAATGGGGCTGAAAATTCACTTTTCAGTCAATATTCCTTGAGTATGTACTATGGGTGTCAGGCTCAGGGCTTGGCAGGGAGACCATAAAATGACTTGCTCTCCAGGAACTTACAGACCCTGACGACACCATGTTTTATTAAAACCTTCCACAAAAATGTTTGAACCACATGCATGCAAGTCTTCATCCTGTCTGTGGTTTCCACAGCTCATTTTACATCAAACTGCTTACTTTTCTTTTTTCAATCCTGTCATATTTTGCCACAGGCCTGGGAAGTTTTCAAACTGATATGTGTATATAAAGATAAGCACCAGCATAGTGTAAATAACCACAGACATCCAAAAATATTTTAGGATTCGCCTCCACCATTCGTAGTGCACCTGTGAATCAGATGTTGAAAAACAAAGAAGAAAAGAAGAATTCGTTATTAAAAAAAAAGGAAATTAAAAAAAAAAAACATCTCATTTATTCCAGTATGACAGGTGGTGATATTTACAAATACTAAAAAATCAAATCTAATTCATTTTTTTTTTTATTTTTGAACCTCTGTTCCTCATAGAGTTGGTTGGATCTGGATTGGAATCTCAGGACTACAAGACTTGCTACCTAGGTCCTTGGGGGAGTCGCCGGACCACACTGAGCTTCAGTTTCTTACTCCCTAAGTGCCTATTTGGAGTGCTGTTAAGAGGGAGAAATCAGAATATTTATAAGGCTCTTGGCATGGTACCTAGTTTATAAAAGGCATTCAAGCATTAGTATGGAAGATGTTGCCATCATGGCAGTTATCACTGAGAGAAAATTGTGCCAATTTTGAAATTCTAGGTGGTACTATATGAGAAAAATGTGAAGCCAGTAAAGAGAGGTTTACCACCTCTTTACCAAAAGCCTGTGTATTTTCATCTGAGAACATCTACCCTGATTTTTTTTTTAAGTAGGCTTCATACTCACTGTGGAACCCAATGTGGGGCTTGAACTCACCACTCTGAGATCAAGATCTGAACTGAGATCAAGAGTCAGATGCTCAACCAACTGAGCCACCTCGGTGCCTCCCTACCCTGAATTTCAAAGATATTTCAAAATTTTTATCAATTTCGGTCGAGCGATTTTAATCTCTATCAGTGAATTCTTCTTGCTTATTTCAGTTGCTTTATTTGCTTGGCTGCCTGCAAGATTAGTGTACTGTTGCACGTGTTTTTCTTTTTTTTCTTTTAGAGAGAGAGAGACACAGTGTGAGTGTGGGAGAGAGGCAGAGGAAGAGAGAGAGAATCTCAAGCAGGCTCCACGCTTAGTGCAGAGCTTGATGCGGGGCTCGATCTCACGCCCCTGGAATCACAGCCTGAGCTGAAACCAAGAGACAGACACTCAACCGACTCGGCCACCCAGATGGTCCTATGGCACCTGTTTTTATCACTGAGTTAAAATTTCTCTAGAAGTTAAGACTGAATTTGTGGAGAGGCTAATTATTTTAGTAGAATCTTTTCTATATCCTAATTAATAAAATATTAAAATAGTTGATACAATATGCATATATGTTTACATGCACAGTTTTCTGATTCTAAACTCTGGAGAATAAGTGAACTGAGAATCAACCAGTATTTTAGATTTTCCAGCCACTGTTCTTAAACTATCATTCAAAAATTAATTTAATTACACAGGTTTTTTTTTTTTTTATCAAGAATTTTTGAAAAACTCATGAATATTTTTTTACTTTTTAGGAACCCCAAATTTTAAAACGATGAAGAAGCTGAAGATAGTCATTTCCCATTTTAGGACTTCTTAATATGTAATGTTTGGACCACATTGATCACTTTATATTATATAATAGGTTCACGGCATTATATTAATTTAGAATCTTGTCAAAGGAAGCTCACATATATTTCTGGGGCTGCCACAAGGATCGGAAAAATAGAAGACAATCATTTACCTACCTGATACAAGGCCACACAGAACAGAAACAGCACCATGTAGATGATTTTGTACATCACAATTTTACCCTCGAAGCTGACGAAGAAGAACATTCCTCCACACACGTAGATCCAATACTTGATGAACATGGCCACCACCAAATTGCCCAGCACTTTCATGATGTCCTGGTTGTCATCTTCTTCCATTTCTTCTTCTTCTTCCTTCCTTCTCTCTTGCTTTTCTTCCTTTGCTTCCTCTCCCTCCTTCTCCTCAGCCTCTCCTTCCATTTGTAGCTCTTGCTCATCATCTTTAAAACAGAAGATTTTGCTGTTACATTTAGCTGGTTCCCTGCCCGGAGCCACACTCTGACTGGGTGTCATATGTGGGACTTAGAAGCACATGGTTTTATGTGTTACTCTATGATTTGATTTCAGACTGTTCTAGTAAACAAGGCAGCATTTATGACTAATCATAATCAATTTTCATAGCCTTTGTGAAATATAACTTCAAAGAAATAAACCTGGTAATACTTTATGCTAATCTGTTTATAACACCTAATTTGATTTCCGACACCCAAGGACAGATTTAAGAACGGCGGAATCTAGGGGCACCTGAGTGGTTCAGTCGGTTGAGCATCTGACTTCGGCTTAGGTCATGATCTCACTCCAATTCATGAGTTGGAGCCCTGGGCTGGGCTTTGTGCTGACAATGTCAAGGCTGCTTCGGATTCTCTGTCTCCCTCTCTCTCTGCCCCTCCCCCACTTGGGCTCTCCTTTTCTCAAAAATAATTAAAAACAATAAATTAAAAAAAAGAAGAACTGCCAAGATCTAGAAAAGTAACTACAGTGGTCCCCCCTCCCCAACTCTGTTCCATGGTTTCACTTTCCACCATTTCAGTTACCCGAGGTCAACCACAGCCCAGAAACAGATGATGCACCTCCTGATGTATCATCAGCAGGACAATACTGGCCTAATGCCATGTCACATGCCTATGTCATTCACCTCTGTCTCATCACATTAGCATTGTATCATCTCACGACATCGCCAAAAGGGTGAGTACAGCACAAGATACTTTGAGAGAGAGACCACATTCACATAACTTTTATTACCCTTTCTTACTATAATTGTCCTATCTTATTAGTCGTCCATGTCTCACTGTGCTTAATTTATAAATTAAACTTTATCATAGGTATGTGTGAGTAGGAAACGGCATATTTAGGGTTCAGTACTATCCACAGTGTCAGGCGTCCACTGGGGTCTTGGAACATGGTCTCTGTGAGTAAGGGGTCCCCTGTACATAACAACACAAACCCAAACTAGTATATCAATTTCTAGTTCTGATTGTTTCACGGCTCGAAAAGTGTGACCATGGATAACCATTTAACTTCTCTGAACCTGTTTCTTCTTCCCTTAAGTGGGAATCCATTTTGTGAGGATCGAATGACAGCACATTTTCTAAAGCTCCTTGTGGGCTCATAGTGTTGTCTACTGCTCCAGGTTAATGTTTGGCTTTTATCTGGTCTGAAGCACAGAGGCTTTCTGATGCGTTTTGGGTGCTCTTTGTAATTCAGTGGAGCACGAAAATCTCTAGTCACGCTAATTTACCTTTTCCTTCATTTTCCTGACTTCTGATTTTGACCTCAGATAAAAGAGCTTCCTTTTCTTGAAGAGCTTTTTGCTCCGTGAGGTGCTGCCTCAGCAGTAGCCAAAAAGTAATGGTGAAAAGTATCTGAAAGCAGAGAATGAGCAAAATGAGAATTAAGCCACCGTCCCAAGCATACATGCATTTCAGCATATACAACAGTTTGCCCACTTCTCAGTGGGAACACGATAAATAAGCCTTTCTATCTGACACAGAGTTGGGCACCCACTTGCTTTCACCTGAAAGTCACTGGCTTTTAAATCCCCTTTGCTGAAGACACGAGCAAGCGTGTCGAGGGCCAGGAGTCCATTCAGCAGTGTGCACAGGCCCAGGGGGAGATGTCTGGACAGTCCAAACCACTTCCATCTGGGCTGGAAATCAGCTTTGGCAATTGGTCTCCCTGGAGACCAGTCCTCGATAGGACCACTCCCTAGTCCTCGATTTCCTGTCCTGATGGTGACATCAGCACAATTGTAAGAGGAAGGAAGACATGTTTCTTCCATAATACTCCTGGACTCTGCAGTGTTCCTTGTTATGAAGAATTCCACAGATGGGAAAATGTACATTGCATCCTGGAGAACAGAGCCCTTTAACATCCCATTCAGCTCCTAGAGCTGAAGGAAGAATTGTTCTAAGTGTCCATGCTTGCACATTAATATTTTGTAGAGGGCTAGGAAAAAAATAGCTGACACTTTAGGGAAGCTCCGTTCTTCAGAGAATATGGGACCTGGCACAGAGCAGTTTCTTTTCTTGTACTAGCTTTATTGAAATGTAATTTACATGCCATACAATTCACCCATTTAGAATGTGCAACTGAGTGGTTTTTAGTAAATTCACGGACTTGTGCAACCATCACTGCGATCCATTGTAGGATATTTTCATTGCCCCAAAAGAAGACCCATGGCAGTCACCCCGTCCCTCCCCACCTCAGCCCTAGCCAACCATCAATTTACTTCCTGTATCCAAAGACTATACTTTCAGGGATCACTTCTACAGTTCGTTACTTCCTGTCTCCATACACTTCCTAATCCGGGCATCTTATATAAATGGAATTAATAATAAGCATTCTTCTATAAGTGGCTTCTTTTATTTCGCATGATGTTTTCAAGGCGTATTCATGTTGTAGCCTGTATTGGTACCTCATTTCTCTTTATTACTGAATAATAGTCCATTGTGTGGATGGATAGACAACATTTTATTTCTCAGTTGACGGGCAGTTAGGTGTTGCCCACTTGGGGGCTATTAAGAATAACACTGCCATGACATTCAGGTGCAAGTTTTTGTGTGGACATAGGCTTTTGGTTCTCTTGGGTATAATACCTAGGAGTGGAATTGCTAGGTCTTATGGTAATTCTATGTTTAATCTATTGAGGAACTGAGAGACCGTTTTCCAAAATGGCTGCAGCATTTTATATGCTCCCCCTCCTTCAGTGGTGTATGGGGCTTCAGTTTCTCTATTTCCTTGTTAATACTTATCATTGTCTGCTTTTTTTTTTTTTTTTATTCTAGCCTTCCTGGTGTGTGACGTAGTATCTCATTGTGGTTTATAGTAGGATTTTAATAAATATTTGCCAAAGAAATGAAAACATAAATCGGCAAATGAATGGGTCCTTTTTTACTTTGACTAACTGCCCACTTAACTATCCCTAAATATCCACTTTTCATTTGCCTTCAACATAAACCAACCCCAGGAAGTTCTGGACAACATGTTTAGGGCCTGAGAAAGTCAAGGACCATTTCAAGAACTGTAGTCAAGAACACTTCTGGAAGTCACAAGCCATTGAACTGTAACTGCAATTTGGGAAAGAAATCTGTTTCTCGAATGCATATGTGTAACAGTCTAGGGATACTTGAGGGCAGATGGGCCATTTTTCCTAGGTGAGTTACAGGGCAGGCTTGGAAGGCACGGTTGACGGATGTGGAAGACATTTTAGCAGCTGATAGATACTATGAAGTAGCTGAGTCTGGCTCCCCCAGAGTGGTCAGACCTCTGAGGATCCAGGCCATATTCTTTCTTTCTCTCGATTTCCATGATCCACTCAGTACTTTGCAAACACTGTGTTTAATAATGTGCTCTGACAAATGTCACCGTGATAGAGATTTTATGATCTTGGGTTATGTTTTTATCTATGACAAAACTTCTTTTCTTTTTAGCTCCTGAGTACATTAAAATCTAAATGCAGACCCTGCTTTCCCCAGAATAACACTGCCTTTTTTCTTACAAGTAATAAATTTATTTCCCCCAAATGTCCCCCCATCCCAAGGACTGTTGATTTAAAAAAATTTTAATATTTATTATTTTGAGAGAGAGGAGAGTGCAAGTGGGGAAGGGGCCTAGAGAGAGAGAGAGAGACAGAGAGAGAGAGAGAGAGAGAGAGAAGATCCAAAGCAGGCTCTGTGCTGACAGCCGACAGCCTGACACAGGGCTCGAACCCACAAACCCTGAGATCGTTACCTGAGCCAAAGTCGGACACTCAACTGACTGAGCCATCCAGGTGCCCCCCAAGAGCTATTGATTTTGGGTAAGACGTAGTTCAGCGAGTTAGGTGGCATACATTTTCAGATGCCTCCCCAATATTCTGAGCCTGGCTGACACAGATTTGCACAGTCACAAGATGAGATTTCAAATTTCTCTTCTTAAAAAAAAAAAAAAGACGAACGTATCAGTGTGTGTGTGTGTGTGTGTGTGTGTGTGTGTGTTTAAGAGGAAGTCCAGGGAAGGACAGAATGAGAGGGAAGAGTGGGAGGCAGAAGTGTCTTGTGAATGGGAATACGCTGGTGGGACTGTCATCGTGGAGTGGGGTTTGAGAGAGAAAGTGGAGTAGGGTGGGCATGGGAGTTTTATATGAATGAACGAATCAATAAATGAACTGGCCACGGTCCATGAACACAGGGGATTATGATCTAACTTCTAACTCTTTAGAATTCACCTGTTAGGAGTTTCTCCCTTACCCCAATAGCCTTCACCCAAAAATCTGTTATGAGAACCAATCTTTGGTGTCTCCTAACACCCTGTTGATGCCTGGCTGCTTTGGCTATGGGCTGTCTGGTGTCTGGTAACCTGTAAAAAAGGTGGTTGCTCTCAGGAACGGTGGATTTCATGCAATGTAAATTAATGTCCCTCTAGGCAGAAACTAATTCTCTGCCTAGAGGAGAAAGATTTCAAGGCTCATGGAGTAATTACACGAATTATACAGGACTGCTTTCACCGTCTTACTGCAAAGTCATCGACACAAATGGAATGTGTTTAGAGTCTGCCAGTGGTCACAAAACCAAGTTTGGGGCAATTTATAATCTTCTGAAGTGAAAACTATTAAAATGGGGCATGAAAATAATGAGTAGTGACAGATCATGAGCTTTCTCACTACAAATGAAGGCACATCATGTAATCCACAGAAGGATAAAAATAAGTGTCCTATTTAATTTTTGCTGCTACAGTGTTTTTAAGACATAATAGAAGAAAAAACGTTTTTATGAATAATCGGTGATTATCTGTAATAGCAATGTGTTCAGCCTGCTTTGCAAACTGAGATCAAAGTCTCCTAACCCTTTGATACATTTTACACTGTATTTTCCTGTTTCCCCCTCTAATTTCTACCACACTGTAACTGACATTAAAATGTAACAGCCTATATTTTTCCTTCCAGTGGAAAGCACTGTTATTTTAAATAAAATCTAAAAGCATGGTGTAATATTTATTCACATTTAAATTATAGAGACCTCTAAGGAATATGAGTTATTTCTTAGAGCTTTTAACGTATTCATTTTTGTAAAGCACTGAATATTTGGAACCTACCTTTGTAAGTCTGTGCCTGGATATGCTTATTATGATTATTGTGGATTTGTTTCAATGTTTTGTTTTCTTATTTTCCCATTCACTTACCTTTGAGGCAAGTTCTCCTGGCTCTTTCTTTTCTAAAAATCCTGGGACCTTTTTAATTTCAGGAAGTTCAAAACTCCATATATACTGTAATATCAGCAACAGATTTCCATAGACGACCATGAAAGGAGAGCTGATCATGGCATATTTTCTTCTGTTGCGAATCATCCAAAGGGTGCATGACCAAATCAACAACACAAAAGTCAACCAGCTGTGATAGGTGATGCTCCAAGCCTTGAGGGTGAAAGGAAGAGGAAACACAATGATGGTCACTACAATGTATAGTCCCCCGCTCTGGTACGTTAACAGTTATCTAAAAGGAGGGGCATTTAGGTGGCTCAGTCAGTTAAGCGTCAGCCTTCTGTTCAGGTCGTGATCTCACGGTTTGCGGGTTCGGGCCCCATGTCGGGCTCTGTGCTGACAGCTCAGAGCCTGGAGCCTGCTTCAGATTCTGTGTCTCCCTCTCTCTCTCTCTCTCTGCCCCTCCCCCTCTCATGCACTGTCTCTCTCTCTTTCTCAAAAATGAATAAATGTTAAAAAAATTAAAAAAAAAGTTATCTAAAAGGAAAAAGTCAATAATATTCAAACTAAGGAGAGGAGACAGTGGTGAAATCATGGAGAGATACCCCAACCTGGGGCACAGGGAGAGAACCGAAGAGAAAGACTGATCTTGCTGAGAAGAGTATTATTTTTTAACTTCCTGCAGGGAACAGAGCCAACGGCAAATGTATGGCGGGTCTTCCTTCTAAATATTTTTCACTTTAGGTACAAAGATACAAAGGTACACCCTACTTTGCAGTATTAAAAGCAACTGTAAGTGATCTATCCCTTCTTTTTCCAAACTAGACTGGAGAGTTATTTAAGAGTGCCAAGGAAACGTGGCCATAAAAATTTCCTCATATTATTTCCTCTCAGCAATTTGCAGGGGCGCCTGGGTGGCGCAGTCGGTTGAGCGTCCGACTTCAGCCAGGTCACGATCTCGCGCTCCGTGAGTTCGAGCCCTGCGTCAGGCTCTGGGCTGATGGCTCAGAGCCTGGAGCCTGTTTCCGATTCTGTGTCTCCCTCTCTCTCTGCCCCTCCCCCGTTCATGCTCTGTCTCTCTCTGTCCCCCCAAAAATAAATAAACGTTGAAAAAAAAAAAGAAAATTAAAAAAAAAATGGGCTGCCCCTCAAGAGGTCATCTTCCCCAGTGGGAGACGAGGAGGATTGCCCCAGGGGCCTTGGGCTAAAAAAAAAAAAAAAAAAAAAAAAAAAAAAAAATGAAATTAGGTGAGTGACTGCTAACTATTAGCAAGTCTGAATTATTTTCATGAAAATATTATTTCTTGGAAATACTGTTTATCAAAGGTTAGGCAGGTAACAGTGAATGCACTTGCATTAAGTAGTGTATTTAATTCATTTATCCCGGTACGAAATACAGATGTAATGGCCATTCGTTTGGGTGTGACCCAGGAAAATCATCTCCGCAGATATTACAATTCCAGCAAGTCTGTTCCCCTGCACCCTATTCTTGGGAAGGTGGGGGTGGAAGAGGAAGAAAAACAAGTTATGAGGATTTTTTTAAACCTCTTTCCTGTGTAGTGCCTAAGTGACATATGACTTTATGTTGTGGTATTTGGGATGCTTCTGCATTATGTTCAGTTTCCAGATTGTCTGACAGTTTACTGTATTCCGACTTTATATTTTTGAATAAATACAAGTACCATTCTAATAGACTTGGCTCCTCAGGACTACTTTTTCTGTCTGTGATTAAAAGTCTGTCACATGGGACACTTCCATGGAAGGCAGGCTCTTTTAAAACATTAATATGATGGCTCCGTTAAAACAATGAATATGGCACCAGACAGGGGCATGTCTTTAATGAAGGATCTGCTCACTTAAGTTGTTTTTACAATAGATTCTTTTTTATACTAAGTAGCAAAATGTGTAATCAAGGTTTTTGGGGTTCCTTTTTAAGCTCTATTGCTTTCCAAAAAAAAAAAAAAAAAAAGACCAGACTTGTTTTTAGAAAGAGAGAAGAAAGGTATATACTCTTTTGAGTTCTGAATCAGAATTGTAAGTTGCATTTACATTTAATAGTTTGAATTTGGAATTTTGCTACAGTTTAGAGGATGACATGTCGAAAATGCCAGGAAGCACCCAAGAGCACAGAATTTGCATTAAAGAAGAGAGTTTGCAATCACCTAACGAGCTATCTTTCATTTCTTTTAGCACAGAGCCTGCCACAGGGTTCAAACCCACGGACCGTGAGGTTGGGTGCCCAACCAACTGAGCCACCCAGGCACCCCTGAGCCATCTTTCATTTCAAGGAGCTTTCTTTCTGCCACCCCTCTCTCAGATGTACCGCTGTCCTTACTAGAAGCTGAAGTTGATTGGACACACAGGTTGGTTCATTTGGTTCATCTTGAGGGGAGGTCTGGAGAAACCGGGTTCAGGCATGTGCCGCCCCCCCCCCCCCGAGGCATAGAATATCTTCATTCTATTATCATTAAAGGTGTTCATGGGATCTCACCATTGACCACAAAATGTAGAAGAGTCTTGTGTTAGGTAAGTGTTAGGTGTCTCAGAAATAAATCAGATTTCCCATAAAAGTGTGTTTTTAGGGAGGGGACAAGTTAGACTTTCTTACAGCCCCTCTCTCTAGGCCAAAGGATGATGGTGATGATGACGATAATGAGGATGAGGATGAGGATGAGGATTTCTGAAGCTGTGATGCTGGGGACGGAGGATGTACCTACAAGTGAGTACAAACATGCATCAACTGAGCACTGAAAACCGGAAAAGCTCTGGGGAACTCTGGCTGCTGGATGTGCACATCAGTAAAAATTTTATTGCAGCTAATATGGACCACAGTTTCACTGATATTTAAGATAAGATGTGAATGTAATTCTCCCATGTGAAGAAAATAAAAGCAGTTTATGGACAATCTTGAACACCTTCAGCGTCACATAGAAAAACTACCCAATAGATCCTTTTGAACCGGCAAAACAGGCAGCCGTCTCACTTGTAAGGCTAATTTGAGAGAAATGCATTAACATTTGCAAGGAGGTTAAATAGAACAGAACCTGATTTAAAAAAAAATTTTTTTTAATGTTTTTGTTTATTTTTGAGACCGGGAGAGACAGAGCATGAGCAGGGGAGGGGCAGAGAGAGAGGGAGACACAGAATCCGAAGCGGGCTCCAGGCTCTGAGCTGTCAGCACTGAGCCTGACGCGGGGCTTGAACTCACGGACTGTGAGATCATGACCTGGGCTGAAGTCGGACGCTTAACCAACTGAGCCACCCAGGCGCCCCAGAACCTGATTTTTTTAATGTTTATTTATTTATTTGAGAGAGAGAGCATGCAAGCAAGCAGGGGAGGGGCAGAAAGAGAGGGGGACAGAGGATCTGAAGCAGGCTCTACTCTGACAGCAGAGAGTCTGACGTGGGGCTTGAACTCACGAACTGGGAGATCGTGACGTGAACTGAAGTCAGACACTCAACTGACGGAGCCACCCATGTGCCCCAAAACCTGATTTTTGAAATCTGTAGTATAAAGATGCTGGGAAAAATAAATACCCAACCATTCTCTGCCAAGATATTGGAACGATTAGGTATCTGTGCCAGTCACGAGAGGATGGTGGGGCATTTCTTGAGCATGCCGCTGTCCCATTTCATACATACCATCATGGCAATAAGGGCACAGATGTAACTTTGTTTCATAATAAACTGGAACACAGAGACCATGGCATGAACTTTAACACTTCGTTTCTCCTCATGGCTCCTTTCCTCCTCAAAGTCTTCCTTCTCCTCTCCTTCTTCCTCTTTCTTTTCTAGATGGAGAAAAAAATTATGTAACTATTTATGCTAATATGTGAATTCTGGATAAGGGTCCCAACTGCTGCACCACATATATGGTTTTAACAGAGACTTTTAAGACTTCAGAGATTCTTTCCAACTGACAAAGCCCTTCAAATTCAAACAGAATGGCCTGGCCAGCGTAATGGAACCCAGCACTCAGAAATCCCAGAAAGAAAATTTCAATTTGAGAGGAATGGAAAGCAGCCTCAAAGATGGTCCCTAATAATCTCTACCTCCTGGTCTTCATGCCCTTGTGTAGTCCTCGTCCCTTGAGTGTGGGTGGGACCTTTGATGAGCTTCTAAAAAGTAGGAGGGATGGAATATGACTTCTAGGATTAAGTTTAAAAAGACGATGGCCTTGCCTTAGGCACCTGGGCACTTTCTCTCATTTCTCACTCATTCTGAGAGAAGCCAGCTGCCATGTTGTACACTGCCCTAAGAAGAGGCCCGGGTGACAGGGAACTGGTGCCTCTGGCCAGCAGTCAGCAAGAACTTGAGGTCAGTCAACAACTACATGGGTAGATGTGAAAGTAGATTCTCCTCAGGTGAGCCTTCAGATGAGACCACAGCCCGAGCCAGCAGCTTATCTACAACATTCTCAGAGACCTTGAGTCAGAGAAGCCCATCCTAGTCACACCCGATTCCTGCCCTACAGCAACTATGACACTAAATGTTTTAAGCCCTTAGGTTTGGCCATAATTTGTTATTCAGCAATAGATAATTAATACACGCAGTATCTAGAGTATGGATAGAATGAAGGTGAAGAAAACCAACCAGCCAGCTAACCAACCAACCAACCATCCAACCACGTTGCCAGCGTGAGCTCAGTGGCCCATGGTTTCCTAGGTTATGCCGAGGCAGAAAAGTCACACTAAGGATGCAAGATCATCTTAAAAAGCAAGAGAAAGTGTGGAGGGCTGAGGAGAAGGGGACCAGCAATCGGAAAATACGGGCATAGCACTTAAAGAAGGATTTCTTCTCAAGATCCTCCCCTACTTGTCAGGAAAACTAATTTGAATTCAAAGATGAAGTAACGAGTGCCACATCCCTTCCGTCCTCCTGTTTAAATTAAATGGGCTACGTATAACTGGGTCACACCAGGGAGTCACTCTACACCATGCCAAGGAAACAGAAACCAGTGAAGAACCAGTGGCCATGCACAGCACCTTGTGCAGGCTCCAGAAGTGAGTCTCTAAGCGAGGGGCTGGTATTTCCTCCTGCAGAAGCCTGCTGCCTTCCACCCTTCCACTGTGGGGGCTGAGGATTATAAGGGGTAGGCCACAGATTGGACACAGTGATGAAGAAACGGAATCTGATGGATTTTACAGCTCGTGGCGTTACCTCTCTGCTTGTAACACTGTCTGCATATATATATTCAAATTTAAAAATAACTGTCCAGCTTTTATGTTACCTTTGAAAGTTCAACTTAGGATGTGAGTATGTGTGAGTGTGCCTTGTCAGCAGCCAAAATTGTGTTCATCTCTTTTTACGTTAGCTATGTGTAAAGAGAAGTGTATCTGGCTGTGACCTGAGCGTCCCAGACTTTAAAAGTCACAAATGCTGGCTCTCGGCCTGCCCCGTGTGATTCTGATGCCAAAGCACTGAAGACCACATTGCAGAAAGTACTGGATTTTCTTGAGATATTCAGTAAGTGAACTGCAAACTAAAACACTTGCAAACTAAAACACATGCAAGTAGGAAGCAGAAATGGGTAATTAACCCATAGAGTCTGGGGCTCTGTGGAGACGGCAGGTGCCATCTAGGGCTGGGGGTATGTGTGGGCTGCTGGGTTAGGGAAGTGAACCTGGTCTGACCTTACTGAGGAAGGCTACATAGTGTGACTAACCCTTTGTATTGCTAAGTAGATGCCAGGTCAGAGGCAACCTCGGGGTACACTGATAACTATGCAGAACAATACAGTAGAGTAAGTCTGATGAAGAATTATGAACAAAAAATACATTATGCTTAATGTACCAATCACAGGCTGGATAGTTGCTTGCCATTTACTTAAGGTAGGATCAGGTGTAACAACTCCAGGGTCAGTTCCATATAAATAGAAAAATCCAGTACAGTTTTGCAGCCACTTTGACGCAAACTGCGTACTCTGCCTTTTCCCCCCAACAGTAAACTTAGCTAATTCTGTCGTTATGAACTGGTGATTGGCATGATCCCCGTCAGCGCAGTGACAACAGTGGTTGAGTCAACGCTTGCCTCGCAGGAGTGAGGGGCTAGTGTTGCCAGATATTCACATTCTTCAAGAGATTCCAGAAATTTCCGTATCTCAGAGCTGCAGCTTTTAAAATGTGGGTTACTTTTTTTTTTCATTTTAGAAAATGCTGCCTAGGCCAAACAAAACAAAATAAAACACAACCCAAGTCAAAGCCACCAATTTGTCATCTCTAGTATCTGCCTGCTTTCCTTCAACATAATAAACTGAGAGAAACGCGAAAAAAGGCCTAGTACAAGTTTGAGCCCTCTCCTTTTTTTTTTATAGACAAAATAAACTCTTTCTAAAAATGGTCATCCATTAACCAGCAAAACTATTAACCATGATTACAATATCAAATTATACAAAAACCCAAACACACGCACACACACAAAGGTTTAACACTGTAAGTTGATGTGTTTAAAATAACTGTTTACCTTTTATTTTTCAGAGTTTGTCCCAATTATACCATTTATTTTATACACAAGGATAAAATACACAGAGAAATACGCTAGGGAAAAGTAGAGAACTTGAGGAAATGAGCTTAATGATACTGACCATGGAAGACAATGCCCGTGTTAAAAGGAGAAAGAACCAACACAATAAACAATAAACAAGATACAGAGAGATGCTGAGCGTGTGCACGAGAGGAGATCAAAGTTGAGGTATGATGCGCATCCCTTACCTGAGGAGTCTTCAGAGGGCTCCCACCGGTACTGCGGGGTGGAGTACAGGTCGGCTTTGGCGGGGCCGTTCTCTACGGGGAGACTGGGGTGGATGGTGTGGTAGTCTACGGGATTGCCATTCACGGTCACCAGCAGGCCCTGCCAGGGGAGCACGGGGCAAAGGCACAGCTGTGACAGCAGTTCCAGTTTTCAATGTGGACATACCACCTCCTTCCCTTACGCTAGAAAGGCATAACTCAACAGTGAAGAACTAAACGGAAGCCGGACAACTAATCAAGTATCCGCTTTAGCAAGATGAATCGCGTACATTCATTCCTGTGTCCAAATCTATTTTCCACAGAGTGGTCCCAGTAAAAATTTAATCTGATCTTGTCTTGCACTTCTGCTAAACACCATGCAAGGCACCCTCTGTTCTAGGTATCAAGTGTAAATCCTGGAAAAGGCTGGCTGAGCCTTGCTGATCTGGTGTGATCATCTCTCCAGCCTCTGTTCTGATGGCCTCTCTCCCAGCCATCCCTCCAGCTAGTGCAACTCCAGATGGTTCCTAGGCCCCAGCCAGAGCACCCCTGTCCACACTTAGCACATCTGCACATAGGACTAATGTAGTCTCATTAGCTGGCACCCCCTTTTGAGATCATTGCTGATGCTTTGCAATTTCTGTGCTGAAGCATTTCGTACACTAAGTGCGATTTCTTGTTTTGTTTTTTTTTTGTTTGTTTGTTTTTTTGCCTCTTTGGCTTTACGATATAAATATACATGTGTGTGTGTCCATGAACATGCAAGACTTCCTATTCAAATTATGTAATAGGTCTATCTGCAGAGCAAAATGCTTTTACAAACTCTCCAATGTGGCTTTTTACAAGTTTAAATATATTTTGTATGACTATACGCACGCTCATGTTACATGAGTTAGTGTTTCAACAGCAATAAACCAGATATAATTTCTACAAAAAATTATTCAAAAACTTCTGGAAATTTTATAGATTATTAAATATACTCAAAGGAGCTAATTCCATTTATATCACTTTTACATCACTTACACGAGCATAAATGATAATTCTAAGAATATACTAACATCAGATGGTTTGTAGTCATCTTGGGTCATGGATAAAAGCTGCGAAAAGCAATGCAGGACAGCAATGTTAATATGTAAGCAAAAAGCATGGTAAAGTTTATACATATCTATAAAGTTTTACTTTACACATACCCATTCTTTCAACTAGCTGGATGCTAGTATGTTAAAACTGCCATGCAGAATATAAAGGGACAAGTCATTGAACTGGCTGTTGCTGTTTATTACAACCGTTTTACAGCTGCTGACGTTAACGTTTAATTGTGACAGCAAACAACCAGTCATAAACCACATGACTTCAAAAGCTGATCATGTTTTTCAACTGTTTTGTTCTAATAGAATAAGCTGCTTCATTTAATACTCCTAAGACCCTTTGAGACGTCTGCAAAATTCTGAAAATATTTACTTTTCAATAGAAGTTTCATAATAGAAGTTTCATAATAAAGCAAAATTGATTTGTAATGTGTGGGGTGAGATTGTTTTTAAGATTTGCATATTGTCTACCACAAAATAATTATTACATGACTGTGCTTTAAATTTTTTTGAACGTTTATTTATTTTTGAGAGAGAGAGAGAGAGAAATGCGAGAGGGGGAAGGCAGAGAGAGAGTGAAACACAGAATCAGAAGCAGGCTCCAGGCTTTGAGCTGTTAGCACAGAACCTGATGCGGGGCTCGAACTCACGAGCTGTGAGATCATGACCTGGGCCAAAGTCGGAGGCTCAACCGACCAAGCCACCCAGGCACCCTAATGACTGTGCTTTTAAACTATATTAGTGCCAGGTGGTTTGGACCCTCCTCAAACAATAAGTGTTTGCTGTTCTGTGTTCTGCGTGATTCTCCGACCATTTTGGATCAGGACTCATTTATAATTATAAACATCACGAGAGTCCCAAAGAGTTTTAATAATATGGCTCTTATCCATCAATATCTACTATGCTAGAAATTAAAATTGAGGCATTTAAAAATATTTGTTAGTTTGTTCAATTTTTCTTAAAATTTAACATGCTAATAAAAATCATTTTGTTCAAACAGTTGTATTTAAAAAAAACCAAACAGCGAATAAAGTGGTATTATTTTATACTTTTGCGTATCTTTTTAATATCTGGCGTAAATGAAGACAGCTGGATTCTCATATCTGTTCGTGTGCTCAATCTGCCATGAGGTGTTATTCTGGCTGAAGTATATGGGGAAAATTTGGCTTCAGCGAGGTATGCAGTTGGAAAAGGAAAGAGTATTTCAAAAGTCTAGCCAGGCAATGGTGGGCAGTTTTTTTGGTTTGTTTTCTTTTTAATACTACACCAAACTCAACAAGTGGTAGTAACCGGAAGATTAGTTGCAACATGGAATCTGAAAGTCTATCAGTGAACTTTTTACACTCTGTTACCTTTAAGTCCAATGACGCATTTCACGTGTTGGTGATTTGCTCCAGTGAGTTATACAGTCTCCCAAATACTGACACATTTCGTTACACAATATTTAAAACACACACGTGTTAATATCACCACTGATCTCATCAGAGAGGTGCTCAGTATTGGGAAGTTTTCCAGCTCTGAAGAGTGGACGCAAGTTTTCTAATATTCTAATCTTCACTCATAAATTCAAGTGTTACCATTGGCAATAAATGCTGTCTGTTGCGTGCCTTGAAGTGATGGGCTCACTTCTCTTCTTTTCCAGTAACTATCTGCCAAATACCCATCCCTGAATCACCATAATTTGTCTCCTAGCAGCTCTGTCAAGTGAATCTGGTGTGCGGTGGGCAACGGCTAGTTCAGTTCACGCTTCCTACAACCAGCCAAGTGCTTTTCGCCAAGATGCTCATCACACGTTTGCAGGCGGTACTTTGTGGCGACTTCCCTTTTTACCACATGGGATATTAAACAGATGTGAGCTCTGATGTGGAGATTTAAAAAAAAAACGGTAACTATTTCTGGTTCATCAAGGATATTCTTTTTTTTTTTTTAATTAATTTTATCTCATCAAGGATATCCTTAAATGAAATTGGCCTTCCTGCTCTGATTTCTGTGAGTGCGTGGTGGGGAAGGGCAGGACCGCGGCTGTAGGGTTTCGTGCCACGGCCTCAGTCTGTGTTTTTGTGTCACCAGAACAAAGGTCAGCACAGCGGGAAAAGGCACATATTTTAAATATTATTTCAAAAGTAGTTTTGAACCTGTGGATCCCTGTGAAGGTCTCAGGAATCCCCGGCGGTCCACAGACCTCAATTTGAAAAACTCCTGAGCCATCCTCTATCGCTATCTGTCCTTAGGAAAAGGGGCAGGATAACCGGACACATGACATGATGAGAGAAAGAGAAAGGTCCCTGGAAATCCTCACACATCTAAGGGAACCACATGGCTGTCTTAAGCAGCCCATTCACTGTGTAGCCCTCTCTCTTGATAGGACATGACATGACATGACATGACATGACAGCCATGCTTAGAATAAGACCATGTGCCTTAAGGAAACTAGCCTGCCACCAAATACATCAGAGAATCTACTCCTCAATTCTCTAACATGCCAGGAAGTAAATGCTTTGTGTTTGTCATTACCACGTTACAAATGGGCAATTTTTAACAAGTCAATATGGCGCTGAGTTGAGTTCAAAATGGTCAATAAATAATCAAAAGGTTACATGAATTACCCATTGTGACTCACTTTTCCTCATCAACCCATACTGTTGCCTCAGAGTGGTAGGAGATACTTAATCATATTCGTATCGACTGTTTTGTTCTTCTCTAAGTGGTTACTTGAGTTATCATTGGGGCCGGCTACCCGATAGAGTGAAATCATTTTCTGCAATGTATTTCAACACTAACACTTTCCCTGCCAGTTGGGTTGCTTTGTTATATTTTGTTAGTTTAAAATACAAAGCTTTTTTTTTTTAATTAAGAACAATCTTTCTTTTTAGGATTAAGAGACTTCAGTAGAAAGTGCTGCAATATGAAATGGTGTTCTCATGGGGTATTATGGAACCATGTATTTCCTTCAGAAGCACTGGGTTCTCCTCTCTGAATAGAGCGCTCTGCTCTCGAGACATCAAAATCAAACTATTTCTATAAACTATGAGCAATCTGACTTTGCACGTGATACATGGCTCATGTTCAGCAACATTAAGACAAAAGTAGCAAAATTAGTGAGGAAAACGGAAACTGATTTCTTGTGGCTTACTTTTCTCTCATCCGTTGGGTACTGTGTGGCATACCACAGGCTTCGCCTCCTCTCAGCTGTTATTTGGATGGGGCTACAAGCCAGGGTTCTGTCCTCTTCTTTGGTCCTGTCATCCTGCACCTAAGACACAGAATAACCCACAGGGCCAGCTCTGCTTCCTGGAGCAGTTCCCTCTGTGGCTTGGGTGACCCAGAGAGAGCTTTTCGTCTTTGCTCCCATTTTTAAATTAATGTATACAATATGTGGGGTTTTATCAAGACGCTTTGGGCATGACACCAATACCACCCTGTAAATGCTAAGCACATCAATGTTAAATGTTCCTGATCCCTCCTAGGCCCCATGAATCACAGAGATACGCTTCAATGTTAAACAGCCACAGCTTCTCGCTGTGTATTCCAAACTGTAGTAGAAGGCAGCTATGCACAGGGTTCTTAAAGGAAGAACTTCCAAAAAAGTGCTCAATGAACTGTGTAAGCCATCCATGGACAATCTTTAATTAAGAAGAAATTTATTAAAGGTGGAATCATCTAGAGCTTATACACATGAGTAAGGAAGAACATATCTAATGCACAAAACTGTCACCTTGCCTTATGGGACACTGGCCTAAATTAGGCAATTGGTCTAGAAGAGATGATGATGGAGAGAGTGTAAGGGGCAGAATACACTGGGTGCTTTTGTATGGTTTCTGAACAAAAGTGATCCAAAAAAGGGCTTTACCACACCGTTGACACCGGAGGGCAGGAAGGGAACTTAGCCTTAGTGCCCAATTTCCTGGTTCTAGTGTGCCAGGGTAGAGTAGCCATGGGGAGCACCCAAATGCCCTGGTGGGAGCCCATATATTATTTAACTCTCGACACCTGTTTCTGTTTCTGTTTCTGTTTCTCTCTCTCTCTCTGTCTCTCTCTCAAACATGCATCATAGACTTTTACCTCAGGACTCACATTTGATAGCTGACATTTTTCATGAAGGGTGCCAGGTCATCTGGAACTATGATATAACCAGCCACCTGCCTTCCATCAGTGCCTCAATGACAAAGTGCTGTGTCCCAGCACATTTAAAATATAGGCCCCTTGAAATGTTGACACTGGTATGAATTAGGCCCTGTTCTCCACACACCCTTCTAGACACTGTGGTCTGTAATCTTGCTATTAACTCTACCTTCCTTTATCCCCAGATGGCCCAAGGCTGAGGAAGCCGAATGTCTCTTGGGCCTATGGGACTATAATGTGGCCTTCACCCACTATGGAAGCATGACAACAGGGGTCACATGCTCCTGGCATGCTGGGGGTGCTGAGATACCCCCCAGAGAAAGTGAAGGACACCTGTGACTCTTATTAACTTGAATGCCTTAATTTCCATCCCTCATAAGACACTGTTCAGAGACCATCCCCGTAACATATTTTAATTTCTTTTGTATCCACTTTCATTTGTGCAATGTGCACACCCTTTACCTTCTGTGTGTTTGTGGACAAAATGAACACAATGACTTCACTTGAGAGCATTTTACTGGCACACTCAAACTTTGAGAACTGGAGGAAACTGTGACCATAAAATGATGGGGATTCCTTATGACCCCAGAAAACATTTTGTTACATGAAGCTGCTATCGATGGCCCAAAGAAAGACACCATATGAGAATCCTGTGAACAAGGCTGCCTCTGTGGCCCTTGGGTCTGCCTGCCCAGTGGGGACAATGGATCACCAGTGGGGCACAGGACAGCGCCCCATTTCTGCAGGTAGCAGTTCTGCTGGGGACAGACGAGACACACGTCTCACCCAGTTCCACTGTGCTATGTGACTTGGATCCCACTTACTTGTTTGGACTGCTTTTTCTCTTCTGGAACGTCCAGTTCCCCTGGGGCACCTTGCCTAGGGCAATGCTCTATGCCTGGCCCCCAGCTTCAAGTCTGAGAGCGTTGGCTTTCAATAAATATTTGCTGTCTGCCTGTCAGATGAACTGAATGGATGTGTAGATACAGTCTTGTGGGTGTGAACACAGAAAAGGCCCTAACCTAGAAGTGACAGGAGAGGAGGCGTGACTTCACGCAGATGGGCTTCCAGTCAGTGAGCTCCCCCCGCCCCCCAGAAGGTGCTGGATGAGAGGTGTGACCATCGTTGCCTACACTACTTTCCTCCCTCATGTGCCAACAAGCTCCCTTACAACTGAGCTTCTTATAGTCAATTATGGGGAAAAATGAAAGGGGCTGAAGTTTTCTGTCACCAAAAAAGGAAAAGAGAGAAGCTACCCAGACTCTCTGGTCCTGCCCTCAAAAGTGCCTTGCCCTTGTTAATACCTCACAGGAATAAATCACTCCTCTGTCGTGCCTGAAGGAGACCCCCAAGTCCCCATGCCTCACAGTGGGGGTACTCAGAAGGCTACAGACCCTGCTGAGAGCTGGGTGTCCCTATCCCATCCTCAGACGTTAGAGGTCAGAGAAGTTTCTGAAACTCCAGTCACCATGATAACAGGCTGTGTAGTCACTGAAGCTCTCGCTTTGCTGTCAAACATGAGTTTGACTCTGATTTCTACCGCTCAGACCAATGGACCTCTCTAACCTCGTTCTCCTCATCTCCAAGATGGGTATGATACTATTCTAATTCTTTCAGAGTTATGCAGTGAATTCAGTGAGATAATGTCTATGGACACCATCGTATGGCATTAAGTGCTCAATGCAAATGTGTTCCATTCTCCTCACCAGGGACCATTCTCAGCAGCACGTGGTGATGTATTGAAGAGACCAGGCTTTGTTATGAGAGCACTTGCATTTGCATAGTGCTCTGTGCTGAAATAAGGCACCAGAACTAGAACACTCCAGTTGTTTTGGAATATAGCCTTGACCGCTCAGTAGTTAGTAGGAATGAACCACTTCTCCTGGAGTTTCCAGGTTCCTTGGCATATCAGATCACCAAAACCCTTTTATCCTTACAAGGGGTTCCTGTAGCCAGATGCGGATCAGAGTTGCCAGCGTATAGTACATCACCAGCAGGACTATGGGGTTGGCATGGTGATACCATGACAGGTCTGGGTTTGCTACAATCTTCCACGTGCTGGAACAGTCCGTTTGAATGACTGATTTGATACCAAACAACCTGTTTAAAAACAAAGAAAAACATCAGAAAAATACAATAAACTATATGTCCCTAACATAAAATAAAAGCAGGTTTTTGGGGGCGCTGGGGTGGCTCAGTCGGTTGAGCATACGACTTTGGCTCAGGTCATGATCTCGCGGTTCGTGGGTTCCAGCCCCGCGTCGGGCTCTGTGCTGACAGCTCAGAGCCTGGAACCTGCTTCAGATTCTGTGTCTCCTTCTCTCTCCGCCCCTCCCCCGCTCGAGCTCTGTCTCTCTCTCTCTCAAGAATAAATAAACATTACGAAAAATTAAAAAAAAATCTTGTTTTTAATATACTCATGAGCTAGTCCTAGGTTAATCCATCCTACTCTAGATATTTCATTACTCTTTTTTTTTTTTTAATTTTTTTTTTCAACGTTTATTTATTTTTGGGACAGAGAGAGACAGAGCATGAACGGGGGAGGGGCAGAGAGAGAGGGAGACACAGAATCGGAAACAGGCTCCAGGCTCTGAGCCATCAGCCCAGAGCCCGACGCGGGACTCGAACCCACGGACCGCGAGATCGTGACCTGGCTGAAGTCGGACGCTTAACCGACTGCGCCACCCAGGCGCCCCTCAAACCTTTTAAAACTATCCTACAGGCCACTGTGGTTCTGTTTACAACTATTAATTTGTTGATCTCTTTTCTCTCTTTGTGTTTCAGTTTGAATAGCTTCTATTACCCTGTATTTAAGTTTATTGATCTTTTCTTCTGTGGTATCTAATTTGCTCTTAAGCCCATTTGATGGGTTTATTTTATCTACGGTATTTTTTTAAACCTCTCCCAGTTCCATTTGTTCTTTTTGTACATTCATTCTTTTTTTTTAACGATTCCATTTCTGTCTTCCTTATGTTCATGTTCTTTAATCTTGAAAATAATTAGAAGAGCTGTTTCAAAGAGCTTGTCATTTCTAGGTCATTTCTTGATTGATTATTTTTCCTTGATTCTGTATATGTCTAATAATTTTCAACTGGATCCCCGACATTGTAAGTTTTATATTGTTGAGTGTCTGGATTTGTTTGTCTTCCTTTAAAGAATGTTGAGTTTTGTTTTGGCAGGTAGTTAAGTTCCTTGCAGATCAGTGTTATTCTAGCAGGCTTGTTCTTAAGTTTGATCACTGTGGGTGTGGAGTGGCCTTTACTGTGTAACTAGTTTAACTAGTTACATTAAATAAATAAAATACATTAAAAAATGTTTATTTATTTTGAGAGAGAAAGAGAGAGAGAGAGACAGAGAAAGAGAGAGAGAGCACGAGAAGGGGAGGGGCAGAGAAAGAGGGAGGGAGAGAATCCCAAGCAGGCTCCATGCCACCAGTGCAGAGCCCAATGTGGGGCTCAAACTCACAAACTGCCAGATCATGACCTGAAGCTGAAGTCAAGACACTTAACTAACTGAACCACCCAGGTGCCCCAACAGTCAGACTTTTAACGGTTAGACTCAGCAGTCTCTCTATTCAGACTAGCTAGAACTAAAATGCTTTCCCAATCCTATCTGAACTCCAGGAGTTACTGAGTTTATACGTTCTCAATATTTGTTCCTTCCCCCAGGAGTCTTGATTTGTCTGGTTTCATGGAGTCTCACTCTGTGCATGCACAGCTTAGAATCCAGCTAAAGTATCTGGGTGACCCCGTGCAGATTTCCAGAGCTCTTTCTCTGTCCTGCTTCCTTATTTCCATTAGTCTTTACCGCAAGTTTCAGCCCCCTCAGCTTCTCTCTTTCTACAGCCCAGCAAGACCACCGTGCTCTTCTTAGGTTCACTATTCAACACAACATGCAGTGGATGCTAAAAGGTGGAAAGCTGGGGGCATCACAGAGCTCATCTCGGTTGTTTCCCTCCTGCCAAGCATCACACTCCTATACTTCCAACTGTGAAGTGTTCAAAAACAGTTGTTTCATATCTGTTGTCTAGTTTTTGCCTTGTGGCAGGAAGTCTGGTCCTGTATACTTTATATAACTTTTAAACACCAGCCAAAGCATAAGAGACTCTTAAAAACTGAGAACAAACTGAGCGTTGATGGGGGGTGGGAGGGAGGGAGGGTGGGTGATGGGTATTGAGGAGGGCACCTTTTGGGATGAGCACCGGGTGTTGTATGGAAACTAATTTGACAATAAATTTCATATACTGAAAAGAAACCACCAGCCTGGCTCATACACACATATACTGGCATAATGATACCTGTCTACCTATCTATACAGAAGTAGGGTACTCTACTTAGAAGATTTTTACCATAGATTTACTAATCTGTAAACACAACGAGAATAATAAATACGTCCATTCCAAAAACCCATGCATAAAAATAAATGATTGTGTCCTTGGCTCATGTTTTCTCTTCTGCCTTCATTTCAGATACAACCCAAAAGCTTTCCAGGTTGTTGTCAGCAGGAGCATTGGTCATGTGTCACCAGAGGGACATTTTCATTGAGATTCCTTCTTCTCTTGTGTGTCTCACCCTTGACAACATATACCCGACATGAATGCACATTCTCCTATATATCCCTCCCTGCTCACCTTCCTTTAACTCTTACCAAAGAGCCTCAGGAAAATTTCTTCTTTTCTTTTCACTCTATCTCCATATTATTTGTAAATCTTCAAGTGATTTACATGACAAATTATAAATACAGCAGTGCTAGCGATAAGTGTGTTTTGGGGAAAATCAAAAGTTACATATTTTATAATGACAATAGGTGTCAGGCCAAGTTCAATCACTTTCTAAAGCTTGTTTCCCAAACCATCTATGAGGACCATTCAGGAAATACCTATCCATTGCGTGCAATACATGTGTAAAATATAAGAAAAAGTAATGAACAGAAAATAATCCCATGCCTGAATGCCACAGCAATGCCAAACTGCTACATAGGTTTTAAATGCTTTCTCTCTTTAAATAGATTTCTGTATTTAACTTGTTGAAAATCTGCTTCAAACAAGTCGTGGACCTGCAATGATCTGCAACATAGAGTATACAGAAGTCCTTGTCCGAATATTGTCAGTAGTCTATCACTATGGATTGACCATCTCTAATTAACCTTTTCCTCAGACACATCTTTCAAAATAAACATTTAGAGCTTTTCTTCCCGATATAATTAATGTTCTTAACACAACAAATATAACCCATGATGATAACTAAAATTTCCTTATAGGTGTGTGTGTGTGTGTGTGTGTGTGTGTGTGTGTGTGAGAGAGAGATTCTTTAAAATCGTTGAAGAAACGCTAACACATGTTTTCTGTTGTGCTTCATGTCATCAGGGTGTCTGACAGCTAGTTAGAAGAGAAGCTCCCTGATCCAGCACTGTAGATGGAATGTTGGCACCCCAAAGCACTTCCTGCTTAAATCTCTGACCTGGAAAGAACAGAAGGAACCGGGTCAGGATCTGCTGGCCTCCGGCCAACCAAGGGGATCAGCTCTCATGGGTGAAGAAGAAGGCAGGGACCTGGTGACTACCCACTGCCATACTTCCTGTTGGATGTGATCAGCATCTCTCTTTGCAACTTTGTATTTAGTGAGGATAGGCTGGAGAGTCTATCCTTCCACTCCAAAGTTTCTAAAAATAGCACAAGCCAAAAGACAGCCAAAAAAACAGAGGCCTGATCATTTGGATTAAGCTAGCTTTCATAAATAAAACTTGAAAGCTAACTTCTATATCTAACCCAAATAGATCAGGAGCTCCATGGACTTCTGGAACTGGACCACAGTGAAATCTGGGTTCTTCTTATATGTGGTATAAGTCACTATTTTTAAGTAAATAGAGTCCATCTTAAATTAAGATGGTTTTGAACACGCTATGACTTTTTTTCCCAAGATTTGTAAAAGATTTAAGATCTTTCATGACCTCGCAGCCAATGTTACGAACACCCAGTCCATTATATGGTAGTACACTCATAGAGGTATGAAGTTTCTGGTAATTTGTCTTAGTATTTTTGTCCTTTTAATTAAAAATAATCAATTTTATCTTTCAGATTTTTCCTGTTGTATATGTGACTTTGAATTATTTACTTATTGCATATTTTGGAGAGTTCTGACAAAAACCACCTGAAACTTCTTTTCCTATCCCCTTTAGAACTGTGATGCATTTTTTAATGTTTTATTTATTTCTTAAAGAGAGAGAGAGTGCAAGAGGGGGAGAGGCAGAGACAGAGAGAGAGAGGGGGACAGAGGATCCAAAGTGTACTCCATGCTGACAGCAGCCAGCTGGATGCCGGGTGTGAACTCATGAACCGTGAGATCATGAACTGAGCTGAAATCAAGAGTTAAAAACTCAAACACAGTACTGAAGGCACTAAAGCTCCATCTATTATCCAGTAAATGTGGGAATAAAATACCAAAAGCTGTGTACTATTTTGGTGAATGCTTGAGGGAATACAATTTTTCCTTGAGTTAGTTTTCATTCTCTTATAGTCTTGCTTAAATTGAAAAGAACAATGTGTCTGGAGGAAAGAAAAAGAGAAAGGAATAAATTTAGGTGCATTCAACAGGTGCCAATACAGGCAAGATAAAGTCCATTTTTGAAGTATCAGAGGGAAGAAGAATCCTATAATAATTTTCCCACAATGCAAGGGGCTGAACGAAACCACATATAAATAAAATGATTTTAAATTTTAAAAACTGGGTTGTAAAGACAGAATTTATAAAACACACATAGATACCCCTTGCTTATATAAAACAGATATTAGCGTTCTGCCATATTTGCTTCTCTCACATTTAAGCAAAAAAAAAAAAAAAAAAAAAGGTTAGTGGCATACCTAAAGCCTTGCCCATTATTCTTTCACTCCTCCCCCACCTTCTTCAAACACTATCTAGACATTAGTGTGTATCATTTCCATGAGCATTTGCTCACTTGCTACATATGTCTACAACTATAAATAATCCATACTATTTTTATGTGAGCTTGAATTCTTATCAGTGGTCGTATTTGCATATACTCTTATGCACATATATAATAGAGTTCATTTTTTTAATTTTTATTTTTTGAGAGAGAGACAA